GCGCACTCGACACGCACGATCTCCGCAGAGGGTTGCACTTTCGGTTGACGCTGTTCGTCCCACCCTCCGCCTTTAAGAGAGAATTTATAAAGTGGGGAAATGTTTTTTCATTAGGACATATCCCGTGCTAGTTCACTTGCCTACTCATTGCATGCTTGCTTACTCATTGCATGCTTGCATACTCATCACTTGCATACTTACACTTGCATACTTCCACTTGCATACTTTGACAGCTTTCGCTCTTCCACTTACACAGGGCTACGTGTGTTTAAGTGTGGTGAAAGTGTCAATGTCTAAGTGTGTCTAAGTGTAAGTGTCCAAGTGTCAGTGTTCAAAGGATTTTCCGGAAGAACCCTTCGCAATGCTTTCGGGAAAAAAGAATTGCACCAAATGGTCACTTCTTGGCGAATGAGTTGCCACGCGCAAGAAGATGGGTCTGTCCCGCCTATCCCGATCGCATCGGTTGGCCAAGGCGGTCGATGCTTCTCACAGCAGGTGCAGTGAGTGCCGTCCAAGGCGACCAACTTGAGCTTCTCCTCCAAGGCCTTTGACACTCATTGGGAGCAGAAAAAAACATGTGCCCCCGCAAAATCAAAAACTTGGGACGGCCGAAAAAGGCCGATGCCCAACTCTTGGCACGAAGTGTTTCAATTGCTGACCTTTCCAGCTTGCTGGTAAAGCTTCACCGGTCTGGCTTGGGGTCAATTCGGCAGCCAGGAGAATGGCGATGGCTATGGCGACAACAGGCCCTCTGAATACCGATTGACCCCGACATGAACCATGCACGAAAATGCAATCTCCCCCCAAGCACCACGGACCCGAGTTGCAAAGGAAGTGTGAGGAGAGTGTAATTTGCACACATCATCCAATTTCAGTACCTTGGCAAACTGCCACTGTTTGCTGCAAACTTTTGTTGATTGGATTGGTTGCCAGCTTTCTCTTTGTTGCTGGTCAGTCTCAAATTTAAATCATCTACAGCACGGTTTGGTTCCAGCCTGCTTTTCTGTTCGCAGCCCTGGGGTGTGCATGTTCGGGAGGCACTTGCTCATTTGCAGCATGCCCGAGGTCAAGAGAGCAACGCGGAAACACAAAGAGCTAGCTACAGCAGAATCTTGCATGTTTAAAATATTATGTTTTGCCTCCTTGAGATAACTCAGGTTTTGCTTTTCGTGTTTCTCCTTGCTGGTGGCGGCTGGTGTGTGGCTCCTGAAGTTCTGGCGCATCGCCGGAAGAAATCCTATAACCTATGAACATCTATCAAGAGCTTATCTCGAAAGTCAATAACAATCATACTTCTCAGCATTTCTCAGCCAAGGAAAAGCCTAAACACCAGGAAGGTAGTTGTATCACCAGGAATGAACTCATGACGGTCACTAAGAACCCATGGATGTTTCACGGTGCGTGGAGTCGTTTTCCCTCCGTGGAGTCGTTTCGCCGCCGGTGCGACCGGAGAAATAGGCAACAAGGGATGAGAAAACCAGTTGGGTCCAGGGAAAGCATCGCGATTCTTTCTCATCTGTGCGCTAAACGTGGGCTAAGTCTTTCTCATCTGTAACTCGATGACTAGTTGAATTTATTCTGAACTTGGTCCCCAAAACCAAGCCTCAACCGAGCGGAAGTAGCTGCGCAGCGCGCTCATGGCCATCGCGCCGACGGCGGAGGCCGTGAGGAGCGCGGAGGTGATCCTTCGGTGCCGAAGAAACACTGGTGCCGACGGTGCCCGATTTGCTCACCAGGACCTCCGGGATGGTGTGGGATGTTGACTCAGAAGCTGGTAGAGCTCGGAACATGCAGTTGGTTTCTTCCAAGATGCTGTTTTTCCCTGTCGTTGGACTCGCTTGCGAGCCTTCACCGGGTTTGGGCTTTTCCTGGCCATGGGCCACCTCTCTCGATCCTGAGAAGTGGTTCCAGCATCTTCGGACAAACTATTTAAATCTATTATTAAGATATATTAATCAAGCTATTCCACGGCCATCCATGAATGGTGAGGTAACAACAGGCATCCATGCGTCTTGAAAGCCCACGAGGTACCAACGCAAACTTGGAAAATTTCTGGCACCACATCAGTATCTCTGCTAAGCCACATGGGGCACCCAGGTTTGACGAGACAGATTTTTCCGCACATGCCCCGCCAGCCGTCCCCCACAACTAGAGGCAGAGAGACAAAGAGTACAGTACATGTACAAATGGCACGCCACACATGCCAAAATGATTCAAGTGGGGCGATAAGTGTCGAAACATGTCGAGATAAGGGTTTCTCGTGGGAAAGTGTCAGGCCACACAGAGAAAACGACTCTTGCTGGCACCAAGTTGACACGTTTTAGGCAAGGCGTGAGACATGTAGCCATGTGTGCCATGTCAAGCTGCGTTCGCCATGGACCATGTCGGGCATTCAAAAACCTTGGAAGATCCAGCTTCCACTAGGATCCTAGCATAGCACTAGTCAGAGGGGGGTTTGAAAGTTTACCGGCATTCCTCTTCTCTTTGACACCTGCTCTTGATGGTCCATCCTTCCCCACTCTTCGCCCAAGGCACGGGATCCATAGGCTCAAAGTGCTGGAAGAGGACACCGGGGTGATGGCCAGTGCAGCGGAGGCCACGGAGACGGTCAAAAACACGAAGAGCAAACTGGGCCCCAGAATGCTCGGCCGGATCTCCAGGCACTGCCCCCCTCCCTGCGCGCGTTCAACGCGCGGGGCGCGCAGTCTGAACGAGCGGTTTCTGCTGTGGGGGGGGGTTCTCTCTTGTTGGGGAGTTCGGAGGAATCTCAGGGAATAGAGCTGATGTCCAAAACCGCTTTGAGGATCTTTGAGGTGTGGATGAAGGGTCTTGTGCCCAAAGCTTCAGAAAACAAAAACAAGTCTCTTGGGCCCAACTCTCTCTCAAACTGTCATCATCCACCGATTTTTCTACCAGGCCCCCCTCTTCTTGTGCGAAGGATCCACGACACTGAGAATGAACTCCCAAAAAATTCAACCCGTTTGCCTGCTACCAGTATGTGGATCTTTTGAAGGGATCGTCCGCCATTTTCGAAGATGCAAACCACCGTTCCTGACATGTTCCTTGGAGGTAGGCGAATACAAGTTTCTGGTCTGGACTTCAGTAGTGGTACTGCTTTCCAGATCGGGTGTTAGGCCGGTAGGCACCGGAAAAAACCCGTTACACCCTGAGCTGGTGGATGAAAAGAGAGCTCGTGACATAGCGACCAAATTGTCAGCGCGCAAGACTCAAAAATTTGCAGCATCTCAGCTGACACATCTGACACATCTCAATATGGCTACAGGAAGTATATATGTGGGAGTTGTGTTTAGTGTTGCGCATGCACCCCACAATGAAGACCACATAGTAGCTTGCAAAAGAACACCGGACTGTCCTCCAAACAAGCAGTGGCGCCAAAGGACCTCATGCTCCAGCCACCCTTGGACCCCGAACTCCCGTGTCGCGAGCGCGAGCGGTCCTTTTGGCTCTTCAAGAACGCGGCTAACTCGAACAAGCACCACAAGCGTTCGCTCCAACTGGCATCCCACAGAACCAACATCGAGGAGGAATTGTTCAAAATGCCGGCCAGGCTGTAGATGGCCTCGCAAACAAAAGGAGAGGTTCTCAAGGGGTGGAGGATCAAAGGAAAACAATCAAGGATCAAAAACAAAATAAACCCAAGAGATCAAAAGAACAACAAACAGGGATCAACAACAAATCAAAAAGGGATCAACAACAAATCAAAAAATTGCGATGCCGCAATAAAAGCAAAGCACAAGCGGGGAGCAAAATAAAAACCCAAATGCGGTTAAAAATAAACAGAAAGTAGCAAGTAGTAGTAGTAGTCGTCGTCGTCGTCGTAGTCGTAGTCGTAGTCTAGTCGTAGTAGTAGTAGTAGTCGTCGTCGTCGTCGTAGTAGTAGTGGTAGTAGTAGTAGTAGGAGTAGTAGTAGTAAGTAGTAGTAGTAGTAGTAGTAGTAGTAGCAGGGGCACCAGCAGCGGGAGCAGAAGCAGAAGTAGAAACAGCACTTGCAGCAGCAGCAGTAGCAGCAGTAGTAGCAGCCGTAGTAGTGGTAGTAGTGGTCGTAGTAGTAGCAGTAGTAGCAGTAGCAGTGGTAGTGGTAGTGGTCATGGTAGTGGTAGTTGTAGTGCAACATATTCCATGCAAATTGCGGAGCTGTAGTGGGGAACATGCGTGGGACTCCGAAACTGGTAGTGGCTGGCAGTAGTAAGTAGTAGAGGGGGAGTAGCAGTGGTGGTGGTGGTGGTGGTGCTAGTAGTAGTGGTAGTAGTAGTAGTAGTAGTGGTAGTAGTGGTAGTAGTGGTAGTAGTGGTAGTAGTGGT